AACATTTATGACAACATATAATGATCATATATGGTTCCAAATGGCATTATATGACCTCGATATGTATTCCCTAAAATCTCAAATCTTTTCGATACCGTTCCCCGAAACCTCTAAAAATTTTCAAAAAAAGCATGGATCTTAGCCCTTAATTTTGGTATTTTTTGACTTTTTATCGCCCGAAAATAAAAATTGCCGAAATGTTTATTATGGTCCCTAATATCCTCTGGGAGTCCAATTGAGTGGGTGGAATCATCCAATTTGCTTTTAAACGGCCACTTACCAGTTTACAACTTGCATCAATTTCATTAACTCAAGCCTACCACGAAAATCTATGACAACATATAATGATCATGTATGTTTCCAATTGGCATTATATGACCCCCAGATGTATTCCCTAAAATCTAAAGACTTTGCGACACCGGGCTTCAAAACCTCCAAAATTTCTCAAAAAGCGTGGACATTAGTCTTCAATTTTGGAAAATTTTGACTTTTTTTCGCCCGGAATAAAAATTGCCGAAATGTTTATCATGGTCCCTAACACCCTCCGAGAGTCCAATTGTGTTAGTGGAACCATCCAATTTGCCTTTAAACGGCCAATTTACCGGTTTACAACTTGCACTTATTTACCGATTTACAACGGCCAATTTAACTCTTCAAAACTCGTATTTAACCCGACTTGTTACTAACCTGACCTAGATTCAACCTGACCCGTTACTAACCCGACCCGAATTTAACCCAACCTGTTACAAACCTGACCCGAAATCATCCCGACTTGTTATTGACCTGACCCAAATTAAACTCGACTTTTATTGACCCGACCCGAATTTTACCAGACCTGGCCTATTACTTACTCGATCAAAAAATTCAACCTGATTTGTTACTAACTCGACTCGAAATTAACATGACTTGTTATTGACCCAACCTAAATTCAACCCAAATTATTCCTTACCCAATTTCAATTCACCTTAAATACAATTTAGACCACCTTATTATTGTTGATCAAAGCATTTTGTTTTGGGAGACCAAGTAGCCAGCAAAAGAAAGGAGCACGCAACATCCTCAAATTTAAGAGTTAAATATAGTATATATTTGTTGTATGGTCAAAGGAGATAATTATCTTTCTAAATTATAGACTATAGTTCCCTAGTATATTGCCATATATATTATAATCAAAGGAAATAATTAGCTTGATAAAAATTTTAATTATCTATTTATAGTTAGTTGAACCCGTATATGACCTAACTTGGAAATGACCCAACCTGATTATAACCCGTAAATTATTGACTTGAACATAACCCGACTTGGATCCAATAATGACCCGACTTGGAAATGACCCAACCTGATTATAACCCGCAAATTATTGACTTGAACCGAACCCGACTTGAACCCGAGAATGACCTAACTTGAAAATGACCCGACATGATTATAATCCGCAAATTATTGACTTGAATCGAACCCGACTCAAACCCGAGAATGACCCGACCTGATTCTAACCCGCAAATTACCCTAACCCGTTTTAACGCGTGAAAACCCAAATTAAACCCGACCTATTGGGTCACCAGACCCGAATGTAACCCGACCTGTTATTAACCTGACCTAAACCCAATAAGAAGTATGGCCCGATGTGACCCGACTCAAGCATGACCCAACCCAAACCCGACCCGCATAGGTTATGGAATTAATTCGAATTGACTTGACCCGAATTGGCCCAACCCAAACCCGACCCGTTTACCCGAATTGACAACTCTAGTTTTATCCATACATATAATTAGCAAATTTCCATTATAGCTCTAATTTTTTCTTAGTTTATATTGCTATATATAAAAATTTCTTTACTCTTGATGGACGATTATATTCTTCTTCGATTTTTTAATACATGCAACACAAATTTTTTGTTACTTGTTATATATAGTATTCAAAGGGACGATTAGATCGAGCTATTAATATTATTTTTTAAAAAAAATTTGTAACAATAATCTAACTCTTTCCTTTATAGGGTTACTTTTTACTCCGTATTTCATACTTTCATCTTAATATCTTATCACATTGTTAAATTTCATCACAATGAGATATATTACAATTTAAAAGTAGAACTGTAGAAGAATAAAAAAAAATAATTTAAATTTCATTGTAAATGGCTTTGATAGATACTAATGCAATGAAAAACTAGAGGTGACCAAAATTCAGGTCAGGCCTGGCTTGGCTTTATAAGAAAATTCATGCCCAAACCTGTTTAAAAATATCGGGATTGTTAGGACTAAACACATACTCTTAGGTGCACACTCGTTAGGGATGGCAATGGATCTGAACCCGACCCGGATCCGTGGATCCAGATCCGTTTTTCACGGATCTGGGTCTTCAAATTTTGGACCCGACAAATCTGGGTCGGATCCGGGTCCTGCTGACAAAAACGGATCTGGATCTGGGTCTGGGCCCTAGACCCTGATCCAGATCCGTGGACCCGTTTTTTTATTTTTCCTATTAAAAAAAACTAAAATTGTTTGTTTCTTTATTAAAAATGTTGATAATGTTAGTAATGATAAAGATTAACCCTTTCAAGAGAAAGAATTTTGGATGCTTGTATTATATATATCATCGTTATTTTTTCACTAACTCATATTTAGCATCGTATTTTTTTTGTTGTATAATTTAATTCAAAATATGAGTGTATAAGTTGGTTAATTTGGGGTTGAACTTAATAACTAACAACGTAAGTTTGAAATAATTTTTTTGACCCGAGCATTACATTTATTGCAAAAAAATTAGGCAAAATATATTGGACCCGACGGATCCGGGTCTTCATTTTCTAGACCCGACGGACTCGGGTCGGATATGGATCCTATATACTAAAACGGATCTGGCAATGTGACTAGGGTGTAATTTTCTCCTTCATTTTTCTCCTTCATTTTTTATTTTCTCTCTCCTCTGTTTTTTTAATTTTCCCCCTTTTTTACACTTTTTTGATTGAATTTGTTTCTTACAACATGAAAGTAGTTATTAAGTATGAATTTTTGTGTGAATTTCGATTTTGTGTTTTAATTTCGATTGATTAAGGTATATATGAATCTTTGAATTCACAAATTATACTCTATTTTTCTCCTTCCTTCTTTAATTCCTTTTTCCACAGTTTTTTTTTTTTTTCTATTTTTCTCGTTTTTTCGATTTAACGATTGAATATGTTACTTACAATATGGAATTGGTTGTTTATCTGATTTTTTGAATTCATATGAATTGAATTTTTTTTTTAGCTTCGATCAATTTCATTTGTGTATGAATTTCATTTGATTTTCTGCAGTTTTTTTTTATCAATGAACATAATCATGCAAAATATGAACATATGCATAGGTTCCCTTAAATGTGAACATAAGCTTTTTCGAAAGTGAACATAAGCATAAAACATATGAACATATGCATTTCAGAAAGTAAACATAACAATTCAAAATATGAACGTAAGCATTGATTTCCTTAAAGTGAATATAACCATTTAAAAGGTGAACATATGCGTAAAAAATATGATTATATGCATTTAAGAGAGAGAAGTTATGCATAAACATACTTAATGAGAACAACAAATATTTACTATGAATCTTTACATTATGAACATATAAAATATTATTATGAATATAAGGCATTTTATTATGAACATAAAAAATTGAAGAAATAAAAATAATATGATTACGAAACATATGCATCACAATTCATAAGTATTAAAAATATGAACATATGCATTGAAAATATGAACATATGCATTGGTTCATTTTGAATGCGTATGAACATAATTAAGCATTTCGGAAGGTGAACATATACATACAAAAATATGAACATATGGATATAGAAAGTGAATATAAGCATTTCAGAAAGTTTACAAACAAATTTTATATATGAACATAAGAATTCAAAATATAAACATATGCATTTTGAAACGTGACATAAAATATCCGTTTGATTTCACTAATTTTTTTGACAATTCCAATAATAAATTTCGAACAATATTCAAACAAAATTAAGTGATAATCATATAAATTTAAACAAAACTAAGTGAAATTTACATAAAATTGTCTTTTTGGAGAGGATCCTTTTGATTTTCATCTCTTTCCTAATGTCCATTGATGTTTTTGCAGTTTTTTAGTGAAAGAATGAAATAAAGGAGAGAGAAAATCATTTAGAAGAAGAAGATTTTTGAGTTTGGAAATGACATTACATTTATTGGGTGTGGGTGGGTGTATTGGGTGTGGGTGAGTGTATTACAGTTTCCGTATTTTTTAGTTTTAGGGCTTTTTTTTAATTGGATTGTGTGTAATTAGGCTTTTGGACTATGTTGTTACACCTATTTAAGGTGCATAAGGGTGCACCTTAGACTAATTGGAAACAAGGGCTTTTTGGCTTTTTAGGCCGGATCGGGCTTTTTTTTACTTACCCTAACCCGTCCATTTATTGGACGATCACCACATAGTTGATCACCTCTATGATAAACGTGTTTAATCGAAACATAACCAGAGAAGTTGATAGGCTCACATATTTAATTTTAGTAAATGAAATGATCCCAAAGACCCAAAACTGTTTCACATTGTCAAATCTAATCAGATAGCCCAATTTCTACGCTTTTCTTCGGGCTGAGTAAAGACCCAAAACTGAATGAAATTGGCCACTAACCACTTTGTAAGGCTACCGAAGGCCCATTTTGTTATTTTTGACATCTTCCTATCTGAAATTCAATTTAAATCTTGGGTAGTTCATTTGTATTCATTTAGCTCAAAGTTTGAACATTAAATATACTTCACACAAAAAATAATTAACATAAGAAAATAAGTAGGAAAAACATTATGAGACGAAAGAAGCACCATAGAACAATAATTGCCTACTATACCTTAGATAAAAACAAGTACAAACACAAAACTGTTACACATCGAATGTGTTATTTTTTTTTTAAAAAAATAATCCTACTTAATTAGCTAAAAAAAAAAAAATCAATGCCTACTTGTAACTCGTGTATATGTATATTAATAAGAATTACTGAATGTAATTAGGGTTGTCACTGAAAAAATTATGGTCAAATTCACTTGATCAAATGAAAGGTGTGGTGTAACATCAGAATAATGATGAGTACCTGAAGAAGATGGATGCATATGTGTAACTACTTCTGGAACGAACGCGTCTTGTGGATTATAAACTGTCTCATTACGATAATTATTGAAGTCAATCAAGTTCGGTTCACTACATGAAGGAGATTGGAACGTACTTGTAATTGTATTTGTAGAAAAACTATGATTAATATGATGATGAGTTTGTAGAACGGTACTACTATTACTACTAAAGGGTTTGATGTCTTTTTCAAAGAATAACATGGTTTCCTTTGATTGTTGACAAGGAGGATATGCTATGATCTCGATGGACTCGGGTTTTTGTGTAGGGTTAGTGGGGAAGGAGGGAAAGGAAGCCTTAGAACAAGTGTGCATACCGCGGTAAATGACTTGAAAGAAGGCAGGGCCATCTTCGGTTCTTTGTACTAGCTTTGTAGCAAAACATCCTTCAAGTGTTCTCTGATTACACCTAAAATATGCCCTGCAAACATCAACATAATGGTACTTATTACGGGGTAATTATTTAGATGTTTAGGACTTTAGGAAGAATACTACTAGTCTGTTACATATAACTATTATATACTACGTATAAGTAATAAGTTATATATATGTATATATAACAAGTTGTTAAGCAACGTTTGTTGTAGTAGCATTCTTATTAGGCTCTTATTTTTTACACAAACATTCGTTATTAGGCTGTTTGCTTAGGTGAATAGCATAGGTTAAACATGTATGTCACACTCTTTAGATTTGTTGATAGTTTGCTAACTACGGTCTTCAAGCAGCCAAGGCAGGTAATAGGTATGAGTGATACCCCTTTCAACTTTCAGTTTTAATTCGTGCAATATCAGGCCATGGCGAAGACAGTAACACTAGGAGATCAAGAAAGACCGAGATCAGACTAATGGTTACTCACTTACTCAATTAACATCATATAGGACTAAGGCCCCGTTCACTTTGCCTTATTTTTGTTTACTATACTGAAATCAATTTTGCTAGCTGAACTTAAATTATTACTGAACTGGAATTAATTTGACTAAAGTGAAATTATTTTTATTGGTTTTCTGTTATGATTTTTCTGAAATTATTTTTACCGAACTGAACTTATTTTTACTAAACTGAACTTATTTTTACTAAATACTCCGTATTTTTTTTTGTAAGGTGAAGTGAACAGGACCGGATAGGTGAACGCATGACAAATTAAAGGCAACTAGTTTTCCTTCAATCATTTAGGACATCTATAAGATTATGAAATGCAAAATCAAACAAATAATCAATCCCATTATATATGCATGTAGACTAGCTAATTAATTACCTTGGAAATTTAGCTTCAAGAATGTCCTTTTCTCCATATTTTCTCCAACTAAAACCATCTTCGATCGGGCCTTCAAGCCCGTTTTTCGTACAACCTTGCACTCTTTGTGTCACTTGAGGAATAACCCTTCTACAATATAAAACACAAATCTAATTTATATATAATTAAGGATGTATAAAAGTCTCAACTTGATCAACATAAACACATTTTAGATGTTTTAAAATTAGAAGAAACATTATCTTTTTGGGAAAATTAAATTATTATCCTGGAAATTGTGGAGACAGGTGATACGCATGTTAAAAATCCAGTGTGTTTGCAACAAGAATTGGAATAATGCCATCTTTACAACTGACTCTACTACGTTAATTAGCTTAACCTGATACTAATCAAGGAATAAACCAACCACAAAAAACAAAAGATACTTTACTAAATTTAATTATATTGCAGGAAGTGTAGCTAAGATAGATTCGACTAGGTCGAATCATATTACTCTTCAGATTACAGAATATGCACCAATCGAGCTAGGTCGATGTGGGATAGCTGGACCATGTTAACAAATATTTAACATGAAAATCATAAATTTTGGTAAATGTCATCAAGAATCAATTTTTGTTTGGTTTTAATCTGAAAAATTAATTCAAGAAAATAAACCGATGATCAAAATAGAGAGGAATTGAACGTACGGAGTGAAGGGGAGAAAAGAAAATTAAACATGTACTCGTAAATATGCAAAATATATAAATAATAATTTTGAAATAATTAAATTCATTTCTTTCCTAGGAGGCCTACTTTCAAACTTGTGAATAGGTTGTTCTCCAATGTATCTACTAAAGAAAATAATTTTAATGTGATAATTAATTTATATAGGGAAAAAAACCTTAAATTCGATTAAACACTATTTAACCTACCAAAAATTGAACAATGAAGCAAATCATGATGTAAAATATTTGCCTAATTCTTTGATCAAATCACTATAGCTAACCCCACCCAAACCCACCTCTATATCCCACAACCCATTAAAAAAAAATGGTCATGTTTCTTATTTTCATTCATAATACTAATGTTGATTAAATATCATATAAATTATGTAGGAAATTTTGCAAAAACCACCTTTTAATTTTTTTTAACCACCTTTTTAAAAAAAATGTTGCAAAAGACCACCAATAGAAAAATTTGTTGTAATTTACCACCAATTCAATATAAAACAATTGATAAATTTGGCTAAAAAAGTGGTAATTTGCAACAAATTTTTTAAAAATGATGGTATTTTGCAACATTTTTTAAAAAGGTGGTTATATGGAAAAAAAAAGATTTAAAAGGTGGTTTTTTACAAAATTTTCAATTATCTATTATATTTAAAAATTGAAGCAAAATAAATCTAGCTCATGTAATAAAATAAATAATAAAGTACTAACTAAAATAGATCATAAGATTATAATCTATAATAAGAATTTACAAACAACAAATAAATGTATTACCTCAACTTTTTGGGGTCATTTTTAAGGTCAAATGGATGTTTGAAATCACCATTATTATCAGAGTCTTGACTTTTAGGGCTTCCACTGAAAGAATAAGGAGAATCAGTTGTTGTTTGTTCAAACAACTTAGACTTAGATAGGTTGTTGCTTGAAACTTAGACTTAGCCTAGAAAGAGAAAGTTTCGCTTTGAAACTTGCTGGATGCTCACTGAAGGTATTGAGGATGTTATAAGGGGTGATTGGGAGGGCGCTAGACATCTGAACATGGCGGAAAAAATTGCAGCAGTAGGGAAACATTTGATGGATTGGAGCAAAGATAGCTTCGAGAATTTGGGTGAAAAAATTGCTGATGCAGAGGATGCTTTGAAGGTTGCTCAGAATCTTGGAGGTTCTTGCCCGAATTTTGATGAATGCAAGAGGATTGAGGCCCTTATTGATGAGCTACATGAGAAAAATGAGGCATATTGGTACCTCCGTTCGAGGGTATCGGAAATCAGAGACGGAGACCGCAATACGAAATACTTCCATCACAAAGCGTCTCAGAGAAAGAGCAAGAATTATATCAGAGGGCTTATTGATGATGATGGCGTGTGGAGGTCAGGGAAGAAGGAGATTGAGAAAATTATTCTTTCTTTCTACGGTTCCTTATTCACGCAGGGGAATATAGATGACACAATCATGGAAGAAGTCCTTGGATGTGTTCCTACTCTGATTAATGAAGGTATGAATTCCACCTTATGTCGTACTTTTACAAAAGCCGAAATATTTACAGCTTTGTCTCAAATGAGTCCCTGTAAAGCACCGGGCCCGGATGATTTACATGCGATTTTTTTATCAGAAATATTGGCATATTGTTTGTGATGATGTGACAAACTTTGTTAATAGTGTTATTTCTGGTAGAATTTTGCTTTCTGAGGTTAATCGTACTCATGTGGCTCTCATTCCGAAAATTAAAGATCCCACTAGTATTGCTCAATTTCGTCCGATTTCCTTGTGTAATGTCCTCTATAAATTGGCTTCGAAATCAGTAGCTAATAGGTTGAAACCCCTCCTTCAAGGCCTTATAACTGAAAATCAGAGTGCTTTTGTCCCGAAAAGGTTGATCACTAATAATGCTCTTATAGGTCTGGAGCTATTTCATACTATGAAAAAGAGGTCGAAAGGTCGTCGGGGCTCAATTGCGATGAAGTTACATATGAGCAAGGCGTATGATCGGGTGGAATGGGTTTTTCTGAGGAAATTGCTGATAAAAATGGGCTTTGCAGGTGCTTGGGTTGACACTATTATGACATTTGTGACTTCTGTTAGTTACCCTTTCCTAATTAATGGGGTCCCTTCGGATACATTGATTCCGTCCCGAGGGCTCCGGCAAGGTGACCCTATTTCACCTTATCTCTTCATTCTTGTTGCTGATGTTCTTTCTAGGATGCTTCAAAAGGCTTCAGAGCAAAAGCTGATTCATGGGGTTCGGGCTAGCAGAAATGGTCCGGAAATTACTCATCTGTTTTTCGCAGATGTCAGTCTTTTATTTACTAGAGCTACCTCTCAGGAATGTTCGATTATTGTCGATATTCTCAACAGATACGAAGCAACTTCCGGGCAAAAAATTAATTTGGAGAAATCTGAGGTGTCTTTTAGTAAAGGGGTTCCTTTACCTTCGCGGATCACTTTTAGCTCTATTCTTGGTATGGAAATGGTTAAGAAGCATGTGAAGTATCTTGGATTGCCCACTGATGTGGGAAGATCGAAGAAAGCGGTTTTTGCTTTTGTGAAGGATCGAATTTGGAAGGAGAAGCTATTATCTAGAGCCGGGAAAGAAATACTTCTAAAATCGGTGATACAAGCCATACCTACATATCTCATGGGTGTCTATAAGTTCCCCTCGGGTTTAATTAATTAAATTCATGGGATGATGGCTAGATTTTGGTGGGGTTCGAATGAGAGGAGAAGGAAAATTCATTGGAGGAGTTGGGATGCCCTATGTCAACCTAAGTTTTTAGGAGGGATGGGTTTTCGTGACTAGGGAGTGTTCAATGACGCTTTGCTTGGAAAACAATTATGGCGGATTGCAACTAATGAAGCTTCCTTGGTTAGCCGTGTTCTAAAGGCTAAATATTTCCCTCATACTACGATTTTTGATGCTGCTCTTGGGCCAATTTCAAGCTTCTCTTGGCAAAGCCTTTGGAGTTCAAAAGCTTTAATCAAAGAAGGGATGTTATGGAGGGTAGGAGATGGGCGTAATATACACATATGGAAGGACCCGTGGCTAATTGATGATACCAGCAGATTTGCTACTTCCGAAAGCAGGGAAGATATGTGTACTATGGTGTCTGATTTGATTGATACAGAAGGAAAGGTATGGGATACTCTCAAGCTGGAAGCAGTGTTCAATGAGCGTGATAGGAAGGCTGCTCTTTCTATTCCTATTAGTGAGCGTCTTCCTAGAGATGTTCTCAGTTGGGCTTGGTCCAAGGATGGACGTTATGAGGTAAAGTCAGCGTATCTGCTGGGAAAATCCTTGAACTTGGATGGTTTTGAGCACTTCTGGACTGAAATATGGAAGGCAGAGGTTACCCCAAAGGTGCGTCACTTTCTTTGGAGGTGCTGCTCTTTTACCCTCCCTTCTCGTAGTGTGCTTGAATATAGACACCTAATAGACGACTCTAGATGTCCCTGCTGTGGAGGTGATGCTGAAACAATTTTGCATGCTGTCATTTTGTGTCCTAGTATGCGTCAGTTATGGATTAGGAGTGGGTGTGAAAAATCCCTCGATATTGGCAGCCTAGATTCCTTTGGGGAAGTCCTGCTACATTGGAAGAAGGTACTTGCTTCTGATGTCTACCAAAGAAGCCTCTTCCTAACTTGGTTTATTTGGTTCAGACGCAACAAATGGGTTTTTGATAATACCTGGGAGTTGGAAGAAGTTATCCTATACAGACATTGCAGATTGGTGGTGGACTTTGGGGAGTATATGGAGAAAATTTATGGTGGCACTGCTCAAACTCATGACCCTGGCAGTAAGGTCTGGTTGCCTCCTCCTGCTGGTGTCGTGAAGATCAACGTTGATGCCTCCATTAGTTAAGAGGGTTGGGTGGGATTGGGTGCTGCTGCCCGTGACTGTAAGGGGCAGGTAGTCTTCTCTGCTGTGCGAAGGTTTAAAGCCTGCTGGGAGCCTTTGGTTGCTGAAAGTAAAAGCAGCTCTCTTTGGTCTGCATCTGGCTAGAGATTGTGGTCTCACTGACGCTATAATCGAGTCAGACTCGCTGCAATTAATTTCCAGGCTTAACAAAAACTCAGTCGCCCTTGCTGCAGTTGATAACATCCTAGAAGACATCGTGCATGTTAGTTCTTGTTTTTCTTCTATTATTTGGTCTCATACCAAAAGAGATGGGAACTTTGTAGCCCATCATCTAGCTAGATTAGTGCCTATGGGTAGAGAACAAATTTGGGAAAACCTTGTTCCATGTGAGGTTGCCCCGTATGTACTCATGGACTCTCTTGCTTTGAATTAATGCACTAATCCCGCTTTCTTTCAAAAAAAAAAGATAGGTTGTTGCTTGGATCATATTGCAAGATTTGTAATGACCTCTCAAAATTGGCTAATATCTTTTGAGCAATCCATCCGTACGCACCGTTGTCGTCGTTGCTAGAGGATGACCGTGGTTGTTCATTGTTGAGAATCATCAACAACAGCTGCTTGGTAAGATCCCTCCCTTCAACAAGCTCATTCACTAATTCACCCTTTTCTGAATATTCATTATTTTTCTCCATTTAATAGGTTGTGTTTATGTACTTTTCTTGCCCAAAAATAGCTTATTATGCTTCTCTCTCTTTCTTCTTCTTCTTTTTTTTTTTTTTTTTTTTTTTTTTTTTTTTTTTGAAAATAAAGCTTATTATACTTCTATACTAATAAGGTATAAGGACTTTTCTAGAGCAGTAAAGATGATACGGAGTAATAATTAGAAGCTAAGAAAAAAAATGACATAAATATTATAATTTGGAACCTTACAAGTTTAGAGATGGATTAGGATTATATATTAGAGGGTAATTCTGCGACCTTGATTTGCAATAATAATTCTAATTGGTCCATCTTTTCTCTTTATATATAAAATATGTTATTTTTACTTAAGAGGAAAATTGCCACCTTGATTAGCAATAATAAACCTCCATTGGCCCAAAATTTTCCAATATGTAATTTTTATATGTTTAATAGAATTAGAAAGAGATTGAAGGACCGTGATTGGGGACGAAAACTTTACAAAGCCTAGTAAATGCAAGTGGGATAGACTTTAGAAAAATGGGTTTGGTACCACCATATTATGAGAATTATAAAATTTTAATTATTTCTATTTTTAAAAAAATTAAAAAGACATCGGCTATTAATTAAGCTAGTTTCTCACTTTGTGGCATAAAGAGAGACAAAGAAAAGGTAGTATGACTTGTATTTGAGTAATTTGACTACTTACCAACAAACATTTAAGAGCGTACTTTGATCAATAAAACTTCAACTACTCATTTTAGTTGTAATATTTAGGAATGAAGAAAATAAAATGATAAACATAGCCCATATATAAGAAGCTAAAAAAAGATATATTAATGAATAATAAACATTAAACATGAAAAAAATAGGCGTAATATATAATTATAGCAGTTTGACATACACTGTATATATACTTACTTTGACTATACTTTTACCCATGTATAAATAATGTATGTGCTCATATATTTAAAATATTTTTGATAACAATTACAATCAACAATTCAAGGAATACATCAGCAACTTACCACATCCATCTCCACGACTGCGCTATTGATCTAGGGTTTTTATTTATTCTAACTGTCCCTACTTTTCTTCAGCGGCGGTGGATTAAAATTTAAGAGTTATTTAAGGAGGTTGCTAATTTTGTTGTTTAAGTAGAATTCATACCCTTGCGTGAAGAGTTATGTTCATCGAAGGAAATATCGGATTAAGTGCACCTTAAATGTTTTTCTGGGATGTGCTTCATCATATGTTCGTCGATTACAAATGATGAAACCCGTCCCAGAAAAACCTTTAAACAAGTTTCGTCCTCGAAACTTAAAATAGAAAATTTTAGGGTATTACATGGAGGAAGTATAAGTTATCCATCATTTAACAAATAACATGAATAATTCATAAATTAACAAATTACATTAAATGTTTGCAAAACTTTTCCCTGTGGCATTCCAGCTCCTCATTTCTTTCAGATTAAATCATCTCAAAGAGTAAAGAAATATTATTGGATTTAATTTCCTTGATTTCTTCATCACAATTACAATGACATTTGCGTTTTCGTTTTTTGTTTTCCATCAATGAGGATAGAGAAATTTGAGTTTTGAGAGGAATAGATTAGTCGTCTGTGGGGGATTAGGGAAAAAGGATAGAGTTTTGAGTTTTGAGAGGAATAGAACAAGTGGGTTGGGATTAGCGTTTTATTGAAATAATGGAGATTATTTGTTGTATTAAAGCAACTATTATCATTAGCAATGCATTCATAAGCAATATTTTTATTTCTCTTTCTTTATTTTCTTTTACTTTTTTTTGAAATATTATTTTTTATTATTGAGAGGGAAAATTGGAATGGAAAAATTTTAATATTATTTTTTATGATCTTAAAAATAGGATTGCTTATTAACGGCCGATTACTATACTAATAGTCGTATACCAGTAAATGACTTTAAATTTTCCAACTAATTTAAATTTGAAATAAAACCAAAACAGCTAAACCAAACCGATTCAAAGGGATAAAAAATATATATATATATAAAAATATACGAAGTAAGGCCCTGTTCTCTTCACCTTAATTTTGCTGAACTAAAATTATTTTTACTGAACTGAAATTATTTTTGCCGAACTTAAATTATTTTTACTGAACTTAAATTAATTTTACTGAACTGAAATTATTTTTGCTGAACTGAAATTATTTTTACTGATTTTCTATTATAATTCTTCTTTAGAAAACTGATTTTTACTAAACTGAACTTATTTTTACTGAACTGAAATTATTTTTACTAAATTGAAATTAATTTTACTGAACGGAACTTATTTTTTCTAAATTAAAATTATTTTTACTTTTTTTAAGGTGAATAGAACAGGGCCTAAGACCTAAAATTCTAATTTATAAGCTTTTTTCCCTAAAAAAATGAGCTTGTTTAATATCAACGGTGTAGCTCTCTCTTAAAAGACACCCTAAAATTTTCTCTGTTCTCTCTCTTCAAACTTAGCCACCATATTAAAACTTAGGGGTTGTCATCGGTTTTTACCGATGGTAAGCCCAAATTTTTCTTTAACTTAATGTTTTTAGCCAATAAAGATCACCATCGGTATGGTGATTATAGTTAGTCCCTCTTTGAAGTGTTTAGTATTGTTTGTTTGTTTTTTTAATGTGTGCAGAGATACAAATTTGGAAGATTCATCTTGCAAATTTGTGAAATTGTGAGTCTGTAAGTATATGAGTGCAAATTTAGAAGATTCGTCTTGCAAATTCACATATTTTGATGACCAATCAAGTTTTATCACTTATGCGACTATACATCAATGGTTCTCCGTCGAGAACGATATAAAGACATCTAAAATTATTCAGGAGCAGTTCAGAAGCGATGTCATTAGTTTAGGGGTGTTTAATCCTTGTATTGAGAATTTAGATCTTTTAAGAGATGGTTGTAAGTGTCGAATGACTATTATTATTTTTATGAGATCACCCCCTCCCTATTCCATTTTTTTTAAAAAAAACTTGTTAAATAAAATTATGAGATAATCAAAGATGTATGGAGTTTAAGGGCCTGTTCTCTTACGTTGAAATTCACTTCAGTTCAGTTCTATTCAGCTCAGTTCAATTCAGTTCAGTTCAGTTTAGCTCAGCTCCTAATTTCCTTCTCTTATAAAATATTCATTTCAGTTCAGTTCAGTTCAGCTCAATTCAATTCAGTTCAGCTGAGTTCAGCCAATGAGAACAGGCCCTAAGTGTTTAACTTTTTAACCTAGTTTGTAATGAAAGATTTGTAATTACCTTATCTCTTATGTTGGTTAAATTATAATTAATGGAATATGGTAGCATTATAAGATGATATTGAGTACATAAGGATTATAAGATGATATATGGTACTCCGCACTTATTAATTTTTTTTTTACAAAAAGAAGAAAATTATCATCAATCTAATTAATTGAATTTGGTAAAATTCAATGGTTTTACATTTATTTGCTTTAAAATAAATAAATGTGCCTAAGGTTAATGATGAGTTAAACATGAGTTAATTAGCCGGATTTTTTTAATTGAGTACCCAAATGAAATAAAAAGGAAGTGGGTGCACAAAGAGTGATAATATAAAGAAAATAGGGTCTTCTCGTATGTACTTAACTCAGTATAACTATCGTAATAATTGTAAGGTGAAATGAACCGTGAATAAATGTCATGTAATGATACTAAATATTGAGTTTTTTCTCTCTTTAGAATTTTCTCTCTAGCATCTTGCTCTCAGTTTGTTTCCCTAGTTTTTTTATAGAGGCTCTCTTGCACCATTTTAACCATCGGAGACTCACCTGCACGCCAGGGCGTGTTAGGCTCCGAGAGTTAAGTGTTGTAAGGTGTCTCTTGTTACATCATGGTAGGGGCTTCCTCTCCTCAGGAGCCTCCTCTAACGATGTCTGGGACTACACAACAACTTAGAGACACTAAAATGCATGATTCTAATTATGCAACTGAAACTAATCTCCCTAAGGAGACGATCGCTACTACAAAACCATCTATGTCTTTCAGAGAAGCTGTGGCTAATTCTCCTCAATGGTTTAATGAAGCAAGGAAAATTATGCTCAACTCGACTGAATGGGAGGATAGTGAAATAACTCCACCGTCTGAATTACATGTAGTGCAATTCCCTAAGGAAACTCTTGACAAACTTCGTCAACCTTGGAAACTCACTCTAATGGGCATGTGCCTGGGTATTAATGTCCGTCCATCCTTTATGACTCAACGGGCCCGTGCAATGTGGAGGCCTAAAGGTTCCTTTGAGGTCATTGACATAGGTAAAAATGTTTATCTTTTTCGCTTCTCACTCCAAGATGATTACGAGAGAGCCCTTTTTGGGGGACCTTGGTTCGTTCAAGATCAGCCAAAATTCTGAAGGCCCACCCAAAAAGAACCAATTAAAAAATACACCCAACACCTCTCAAAATAATAGGTTATCACTCCAAAACAAAGAATTCGAAAATAAGGGAATGCAAATACTGAAAGTGGAGGTATAATCATGAAATCTGCTATTACAAGCGTGCAAACAAGCTCAAAACCATTGACCTTCAATTTAAATCATGTCCATGCAACCAATGAGGTAAATCACCACTCCCAAAACTCTCTGGCAACAAGTAATCCATCCCAAGTAAGAGCTTATAAGCAAGACAACCCTTCATCTACTCGCCATCCTCACCAAGAAAACAACTCCAACCTTATCAATGGAGTCGAAAAAAATACTAGAACCCTCGACAACTCTGAGCATGTCTCTAACCCCTGTAACTACCTCCTCTCCGGTGCAAATGGAGTTGGATCACCCCGAACAAGACCCGACATGGGGAAGTTGGGAAACCGTTTAATTTCCTATGCAAGTCCAGCCCACTTAACAATGGAGCAAGCCCAGATTACCCCTTCAGAAGTCCATGATGTTTTGTTCTCTATGGCCCCTATGAAATGCCCAGGGCCTGATGGAATTCAGCCCATCTTCTTTAAGTTGTGTTGGGACCTTTTAATGCATCCAATTGCTAATTTTGTGAAATCTTGTTTTGACAATGGTATGATTCCTCATGATATTAACCTTTCTTATCTATGCCTTATTCCAAAAATTGATAGCCCTATCACCTTCAAAGATTTTCGGCCAATTGGTCTCTGCAATACCATATACAAAATCATCACTAAGACTATTACTCATAGAATCCGCCCGTATTTGGCCAATCTTACCAATCCCCTTCAATCGAGTTTTGTTAAAGACCGTAGCATTGATGAAAATATTATCATCATTAAAGAAATGGCTCACTACTTCAATAAGGCAAAAAAAGGGAGGAACATAATGGCCCTAAAGATTGATTTAACAAAAGCTTTTGACAGTATTGAGTGGAGCTTTATCCGGGAAACATTATATGGTTTTCACTTCCCGGAA